CATTTCAGCTTTTTATGCGTTTTTGCATATATGCAAATGCGAAAGCGCATACTGTGACGACTCCGTGTGTATGTCTGTCTGTCTGTCCGGGTATTTCAACTCGGCACCCAAGCAAGCTCCAGCGCCAAAATTTTGCCACTGGGCTCCCCGGCCAGGTGCCACCCCAGGACTGCGGTACCAGCCCTCACGCAAGCCTTAGTCCCACGTACGAGGTGGAAGTTTTGACGGGAAAGTCGCTAACTCGGGAATCAGAATAGCTAGGAAGCTGAAATTTTGAGGTTATGTTCCCCGTCCTTATAGAACTCAAAGATATCAATTTCAGCTTCCAGGTGTGCGTGGTATCCGTGCATGGTCCCGTAGGAGTTCCTGGCGCGAAAATGGCTAACTTGGAAGCCAGGAAAGCTAGGAGGCTGGAATTTCCAGGAGATATTCCAGCACGTGTACAACTTAAAATCGTCGAATATAGCCCCCAGGCATGCGTGGTAATCACATAAGGCCCCGTGAAATTTTTTGGCGGTAAAATGGCTAACTCGGGAGCCAGGGAAGTTAAAAGGCTGAAAATTTTAGGGAATGTCTCCTGCTCATGTACAACCTAAAATTGTCGAATTCAGCCCCTCGGTGTGCGTGATCTTCATGTGCGGCCTCATGGAGTTTTTTGGCGGGAAAATGGTTAACTCGGGAACCGGAAAGGCTGGGAGGCTGAAATTTTCAGGGAGTGTTCCCAGCATATGTACAACAAAAATTTGTTAGATTCAGCCTTCAGGCATTCGTGTTCTTACGTACGGCCCAGTAAAATTTTTTGGCGGAAAAATGGCTAACTCGAGAAATAGGAAAGCTGGGAGCTGAAGTTTTAAGGGTATGTTCCCAGCCTCCGTAAAGATTAAAGATATCAAATTCAACTCCCAGATACGTGTGGTTCTTATATACGGACCCATGAAATTTTTTGGCAAAAAAACTGCTAACTCATGAACCGGAGAAGTTGGAAAGCTGAAATTTTAACGGAATGTTCCCTCTCCAAGTACCGCGTAGACAATTAACTTCCCGAACTTCGAGGACCATTATGTCATAAATCCTAGCTGCTGGGTTTCCGAGCGATCTCATTACAGCACGAAATACTGCAAAAACGCATGATCGCATTGACCCTCCCGGTGTGCGTCGCCAATGATTCTCAATCATAAGAGGGCCAGTAAGAGAGTGACTGTGGAGTGCAGGCAACGGGACATAACAGAATCGGTGACATTTGAAAAAAGTTGTGCATCGCAGTGGTTTTTGCGTTAAAAAGGTCGGGTTTATACAGCAGGTCTTCTGAGGGCAGAATCTGTCACAGAGACGGACAGGAGGTTGGGCCGCCATAAAGATGTGCGTAGGAGAGACGGCTGATAATCAGGAGTGAAAGAATACTCGAAATATGCAGTTTCAGAAGACTCCTTTTTAGGGGCAAGATGCCAGATGTAGTTGTGATGCCGCGCAGTGTCGAGGAGGTGGCGGGGGTAGTGCGGATGTGCAATGACGGTGGCATTCCCGTGGTACCTTTCGGCGCCGGTACTGGTTTGGAAGGCGGTGTCAACGCAGTCATGGTATTTTTCTACTCATTCGCTGTTTCCGTTAATTGCATCGTTGTGGCTGCATATTCCACTGTTAGAGGAAAGTGAGAGGCCAGTAGCCCTGATTGTTAGCGCTGCAAAAGCTTTTCCTTTGCTTTGATTTTTACTTGAGGGACACGCTAATAGGCTTAGGATTCGTCTCGTACTTCAGTGTCATACTGTAGTTAAAGTGGTCAGGGAGTTCTAAAAGTTTCCAAAAAATGGTTATTGATGAACATCATTAGGTGTGGTGCTATTAAAAAGAATGATTTGGAAGGAAGGTCACCAGCAGTCATGTTTTTCGATCATCCAGTCAATTTGAAATTTTTCACCTCTTCGCCTTCTTAAGGTTCCATTGATGAGACTAGTTGATGGCGCATCAGGCTTGCCGGTACGGTCTCGCGTTTCTGCATGATCCCATCCCATAGAAAGATTGCTTGTACTATTGCGGTGTTGCAATTTATACATTTGATGCGCCTGTACACAAAACCGATGCCTAGACAGAAGCTTATTTTACTTGCTGGCTTGCACATAAACAGCAAACATCTTCAGAAAACCCCCGGCTTCCTGCTCAGTCTATTTGCCGACTTAGTGGGATGCCAACAGTGCCCAAACGAACTTTCACTTGCAAGCGCATGCGAGGCCTAGGATGCGCTGGCGCTGAATTTGAAATATTTCGGCCACGCTTGGACACGGAATATCTTCGTAAAATTTCAGCTTCCTAGTTTAACTGGTTAGCGAAATCGCTTTTCGTTATGTCTTTGACCGCATCCAAGTGCGCCATAAATAGGCACGAGCCAAAGTTTATTCTGTGTCTATTTGCCTGCGTATGGAAAACAAATGTTTTCGTATAGCTACAGCACTCCAAACGGCTTAGTTCCCGAACTGGCATTTTTCTTGCAGTGACGAAATCAATACTTTGATACGTCTATACTCGTGAAATAGGCGTGTGTTAAAGTTGGGTTTGAAATCTCTAGCTCACACAATAACGTAGAACATCCCTGTGAAATTTCAGCTTCCTAACTTGCCTAGTTCCGAAGTGGATTTCTCTATGGATGCATCTTAATAAAAACAGCGATGCGCACCAGGGCAGACGGTGCGATCGTGTGTTTTATACAGCTCCGTCCAGTGAACGTTTGCCTGCTAAAGATTTTCACTGTTTTGCACTTTGATCTGTGCAAAAATAATTGATATGTCGTCTGGTTTCTAAGATACGCAATTTTCCATTAAAAATTTCACGCACCAGCACGTGAAAGCTGAATTTAAAACCAGGAAAGGTGAACATCCTTCCAAAATTTGAACCTCTTAATTTTCTGGCTTTCCAATGATTTTTGCGATAGAACTTCTCGTGACCGTGCGTGAGACCTCAGCACACTTAGGAACTAAATTCGAGTTTGTGAAGCCCTTACTTAGGCAGAAAACATTTTTCTGGACTTTTCAGCCACCTAGGTCTTCTGGTTCCCATGATAATAGTTTTTCCCGCTAAAACTTTCACTGGGACGTTGAGAATATGTGGAGTCTTATGTAGACAGGGGACGCTGCGCTAAAATTTCAGCTTCCTAGTTTTCATGGTACCCGCGGTAATAATTTTCCTCGCCAAAACTTTCACGGAATCGTATTTGATACCCAGACGTAGGGGAAGGCTGAATTCGAAATTGTGGGATTGTACTTGGGCAGAGAGCATTACTTTAAAATGTTAGCTTCCTGGCTTTTGCAGTTCACGAGATAATAATTCCCCTGCGAAAGCATTCACGAGGCCGTACGTCGTTCCCAGGAGTACGTGAAGGCTGAATCCAAATTTTGCAGGGTTATACGTTGGTAAGAGATATCAGTGTAAAATTTCAGATTCCCAACTTCCGTAGCCCCCGAAATAATAATTTCCTCGCCAAAACTTTTGTGGGGCCGTAAGTTCTGTCTGCGGATACGGGAAGGCTGAATTTAATTTTGCGAGGTCGCACATGGGGAGGGAACATAGCTGTAAATTCTCAGCTTTCTAGCTGTTGTGATTCCCGAGTTGAAAGTTGCAGACAAGTTGCATCGGACAACTTACGTGTGTATGTATGCATCGGACATACATACACACGTACCTATGACAATATGCGCTTTGTATAACTGTTGCGCAACACAAAATACATAGAAACTAAACTGTATATAAGCCTCTTGTAGTTTTCGGGATTTCTTTCATGCGCAAATTAGTAATAACACTGTTTTGCGCTGTGGCTGATCCTGTTTATATGTATTCACATTTTCTGAGGAACTGGTGTAGATGTTACCGGAGCGAGCTCAAGAGCCTCAAGTTCCCCTGCTCCAAGTGACTTGTCTCTGGTCTGCACTTGTGCTGCTAGCCTGGCACGTCGGATAGGGCTATGTCGGAAGTCAGTTCAGAGCACCATTGTTACAGGGGGGTGTGTCCATGGATATGATGTCAATGGATAAGGTTGTTGAAGTGAATAGTAGCGATTTTGACTGCATTGTTGAGCCAGGAGTGACGCACGAAGCACTAAATAAGCGACTGCATGATACCGGGCTTTGGTTCTCTGTTGGTATGTTTGTTTTGTAAACATTGTCTTGAAACTATTATGAAGTGTGATCGGTGTTTTTAAGGCCTTTTGTCTTGAAACTGTTGCAAGGCTTTACTTGATGTGAGAGAAGGATTTAGCTTATCCTGCAGTTATTTCAGCAACAGGGAGCGAACAACCTGTTATAAACACCATCAACGTTAACTGATTTTGGGTGTTTTGTGAGTCTTGTTCATATTGCTACTTTTTGAATGGCTTTCTGATGAACTCTGCGACATGCATAGAAGGGTTTTATTAAAAAAAGAAAAGT